AGCCCCGCGGCCGCAGCAGCCCAGAGCCGCCGCGGCTCTCGCCGGCCCGGAGAACCGGCGCCGCGGCCGAGCCCCTTTCGCCGCCCGCCCTCGGGGTCAGCTTCATCCCCGGCCCCGCGGGCCTGACCGGGTTTTCCGGGACTCAAACGGCCGTAGTTAATGAAATCCGCTCACCGCAAATCACAGACCTCTGCCGTACGCTATAATCAAATTTCTGCTTGCCTTAAAAAACCCAGGCCACCCTCCTCCACCCCCGTTCTCCAGGCAAACCCCAAATCAAAGGTTTCCAGCCATCACACCCCTCCAGCTCTGCCTGGTCCCAGGCCATCTCTCCCGGCCTTCGTTGCCATCGCCCGTTCTGCCCCCGCCGCCACCCCGCGATGACCAGTGCCTTTCCCCGGTGACCAAAAGAGGAGGCTGCCCGGGACCACCTCCGTCCGCCTGGCCGGGCCCGGTGGGGTGACCCCGGCCGCCTGCATGCGGGGACGGGGGTGATGGAGGGGACGGGGGTGATGGAGGGGACGGAGTGGCTGGAGGGTATCCTGCGCCCAGCAGCCGAAAAGAGGGGTGCGGGTGAGGCGGGAGAGACACAGGCCACAAATCACGGCAGCCCCATTTCCCGGGTAATGTGTCACCAGCCATGTAAGCCAACTATTCAGGGGTCAGCGACGGCTGATAAATCACGCCGAGCGGGGATTTTATCCTCCTCACGGCACCGTCGTCACCGGGCTCTGCTGACCCGCTCCGCGGGCCCTGCCCCGGTACCGGCCCCGGGCGAGGCGGCAGCGCAGATGCCGAATGAAGAGGCGCTTTCCACCCCCCCCCCCCTTTCCCCCTTTTAGGTTTCCTGACTCCAGCGGCAGCCCAAAGCCGTTTCCCCTGGAAAAAGGCCGCCCGCCACGGCGCCGCAGACCCGCCGGGACCGGGCGCTGCGCGGTGCCCCGGCCGGGGAAGCGGCGGCGGGGTTTATCGGGAAGGCTGGGGCCGGGGCTCTCCTTTTCTCCGTTTCTCCCTTTCTTCCTCTCTTGCCTTGGCTCAGGCACTGTCTCCCTTAACCCTTCTGCGGGCGGGCTGCCTGCAGGCGGGGGAGCCGGCCCGGCCCGGCCCGGTTTAAGCAGGGACGGGGTCAGAACCCCCAGCTGAGCCGCGACCCCCGAGCCTCCAGCCTGTGCCTGACCCCAGCCCCGGAAAGCGGGAAGAAGGAGGAGGAGATGCGGCACGGAGCCGGCCCGTCTCCCTGAAAACCTCCCGGTACAATTCTCTTCGCCATACTCCGTTTCTAAGGGCAGATGCTGAGGTGGAGGGTTTGGCCTGAGCGGCCCCTTCTCCATGCCCGGAGAGCCCCTTCCCGCCCCCACCCACTAGTGTCTGTGACCGCAGCCGTGACCGGGTAGCGGTCGGCGGGTGAGGAGGGGAGGGTCTCTGCTTTCTCCTCAAGCCCTCGGGGACGTGTCCGGGGTGGGGGGGTGCAGCCCTGCTGGCCTTCCCCGGGGTGCGGGGTGCCCCGGTCCCTGCCGTTCCTCGCTCCCGCAAGCCGCCCCGGG